AATGTAATACACTACAATACAATGTAATGCACTGTCAATACCATGTAATACACTGCAATACCCTATAATACACTGCAATACTATGGTATACACTACAATACCATGTAAATGCAATACACTACAATACCCAGTAATACACTTCAATACCATGGTATACACTACAATACCATGCAACACTCTCCATACCCTGTAATACACTACGATACCCTGTACTACCCTACAATACCCTGTAATACACTGTAATACACTACAATACCCTGTAATGCACTACAATACCATGTAATTTAGTTACGATACAGTACAGCATAAAATACAAGAAAAATAATATACACATATGAAAAAGAATTCGAAAAAAATAAAATGCCAAGACCAGTTTATCCAAAGTAATTCGAAAGAACCGCATGAGTCAATCGGCTCGTAGCTTATGATTAAACGATTGTTTAAAAAGGAAGGCCCTGAGAGTGGATTTAGAAATATCTAGTCTTTAGCATATGCATTTTGTAGGCTTTACAACGTATTCGCAGTATCGAAGCGAAATATATTTTTTGCGAACTCTTTGTCATAGTATAATTCGGACTAGTAACGTACAGCACTGACAGTTATCACTTACTACCACTACTATTTACTGCTACAGTTTTTATAGACGAACGTTCAATTGTTACATTCTGCGTCCCCGTTCCCTTTCGTGTTTACATAAGAGTGAAGACTTTGGTAAGCTGGTTTAATCTGGTTTTCTTGTATCAGAGACTGATATGTGAGTGACGTCTGTGCCAAAGATGGTGCAGAACTTTCTTGAGGTTTTTCCGCTTGCTCTCCTGGGTGAGCAGTTTCATATATCCTTTATTTGGTCTTAGGTTTGGGCTTAGGTATGGGTTTAGACTTGTGCATGGTTCTGGCATTGGAGTTAATGTTGATTGGTCCTATATTATATGGTATAGTCTGATGGCCAGTGACCTCAGTTTGCACCTGTGACGATACCACATGAAGCAATTGGCTCGTAGGTAGAATTGTCATAGGAAGGCAATTGTTGCATAGGAAGTCCTGATCCTTCGGAGATTATTGCATTTGTGTTCTGTAAAACATTATATACAAATATATACATACATATATATAATTAGAAATGCCATTGAGTATTGAACTATGGATAGATTTCCACTATTACGATATACCTAATCCAGAGGTAACAGAATCGTTTGTTAATTGGGCATCTGCAGCACCCCCGGCATCCATGCTCTACCACCTATGTAATCCCAAAAGGGTATTCGACAGGCAAAAGCCTAAAAAAATTCTAATTGCTTGAAAATTCCCTTGCTCCTTGCAAAAGCCAGGGTTGTTCGTTTGACGCAAAAGTAAATAAACAAAGGAACCTACATAATTTCAAGCTAGAGTACACTCACCGAATAAAGCACTTCATTGAAAGCATTCATTTGCCTGTTTAAATAATAGATATATGTTTTAGGACAAAATTAACTCAGTTAGGCAACTCAAAGGGTAGTAATAAAAAATGTTAAAAAAAAACAAAAAAACTCAAAGGGTAGCGCTGAATTGTGTGAAAATAGAAAAAAAAAACAAAAACTACGATAAAATACAAAATAATATGAATCAGTATAAGACTTAATATATTTATTTTATAAGATATTTCAATGACTTAGCGCTACTGAGCGTTTCTCTGTCCTCTGATATAAACACGGTAGCCAGCCAATAAGAACGCGAGTTTTATCTTTAATATCTTATAAATTATAATGTTATTAATGCATTCTTAAGTGAATTTAGGCTTAAGTTCAGAGAACGGAGATTTGCGATTTTTAATAAGAAAATGAAACAAAATTTGTATGTTTTTGAATAAAAAATATTTTAAAAGGTTAACGAAAGGGGCTGCCATCAAAAACGCAAGAATGAAATATAGCATAAGCAATTATAATCACTTCCTTTGGGATGCATAAGTCAGAAGTTACCTCTTTTCTGCCTTCTTCGCTTCTTCTAGAATTATCAGAAAGAAAAATATATAAATATACAAAATAACGGTTCAACAGATAGCTAGAGTATTAATGCATATTGATAACTGCAGGTTGTTAGTTAGGCAATCTCATGTGAAAATAGAATGAAATATTGTTATTAAGCTTTTTTTGATACTTACCAAGTTGTTTCTTAAGATGGTTAATGTACACCACAAGTAGTAAGATGAAAACCAAGAACGCTACATTGAATGCCAGACTAGTAGCAACAATGGACGAACCTAAAAGAAGATTGTTTCTATGACAATGATTTTTTTGAAGGAGCTGGAAAGAAAAAACATGGAATGGACGTTTTGAAATCAGAAACAAAGTGAATGACTTACTTATGCAGGTAGTCTCTTTCTTTTCCCGCCTCGCCTCGTTCGTCTCCTTCTGTGTCTGCTTTGCAATACATGGTGGCACTAAAATACATGACAGCATAAAAAACATATATCAGACCTGGGTTTTGCATCGTGTCATGTTATATGTCTTATCTTTAATGATGACATTGCTTTTTCCTGTGTATTGTTTTAGACGGGGAATAATAATGAAACATGGCAAACGCCACAATGGTGCACCGGCGGATAGAATAAACATAATGTTTTCCAAAATTGTGGTTACTTACAAACACTACCATACGACACTTAACAGTATGTTGTTACTTACGATCAGAACCTGGCGTTATAAAGCTCGTTGGGCAACTCCACTGTCCATGATAATTTCTGCTAACAGCTTTAATCCTAACACTGTAGTTTGTATCGGGCGTAAGACCAGTGACGTCAACGACACTAGCTTCAGAACCTGATACATTTGATATACGAGTATTGTTGTTYGTGTGGTACTTTACAATATAAAATGTTATATTCGCTTGCAATGGACTTTCTGTTATTTTCCTCCACCTTACAGCTGCTGAAGTTGACGTGATATTCTCGACTGTTGGTGCTGGTGAGGTCCATTGTAGGTCTAAAATGGGAAATGAAACTTCTTAACACCAATTTCACTACTGTTTGTTACCATCCAAACGTCCAATGTGGTTCGTATAGAAGTATTTACTAAAAACAGAAATTTCAATCTTCAATTTTGTGAATACCTCTTATATATCCGTAAGCTTCTACTCGCAAGGTCTTCCAAGARTAGTAAGCTATTGGTATGAATCTAATGTATCGTGCCAATACTGGAATATTTAAGACGTTCTTGACAACAGTACTAGTATCT